TGTTGTTGAGCAAAATACAATTTAAGGTATAACGACCATTTGAGCTGACATGCCTTTGTTGCTAATTACGAGACAACTTAAAGTTTGAGTCTTGTTATGACCATGTATAAAGAGCAGAACTAAGAGCATAACCAACAAGCAAAAGAAAGCAAAGGAAAGCTTTATCCTATGCTATACTAGTATAGTATTATCTGTGGCTATCCCAGTGTTTTTATAAATAAACTAGTGCTTGACTCTTCCACCTGATGTGCCATGGTGACGTAAACGATAATTACTACGCGTTATCTTGCCTTAGTATGTATAAGTAAAAGTGTAGTTCTTTTTGAGACCGAACAGCATGTGTCGAATAGAAATCAAATCTAAATATGTTCTATGATACAATAAATTAAACACGCATTCACGTCCTCACCATTTGTGGTAGAAACCTTTGGATGTGGGTAGACAAGAAAAAATTAGTAGACTTTAACGCTCAGCGATTATGCACTAGCAGTTGCCCGCGACTTCGTCTGCGTGGAATTAAATAATTAGTAAAACGTACAGACTTCGTCAACCGGGGATAGTGTATGTTCCCAGCAGTGAAAGAATTTTTCAAATCTTTTTAGTACTTTCGGAGCGTGAATGGAAATATACAAACAATCAAATCTTCTCTCTAAAAAAACGCGTGTCTTATTTTTAAACCACTATAATACTTTCAGTTTGAGTTTACTTTCAACTGTATTCACATATTTGGTAGAATTAAAAAGATCTTCAGTCCATCTTCAGTCTGTCATAAGGCTTGTCCAAGCAAAAGAAATCAGATCGCAAAGCGTATATTTAAATCAGAATCACATAAGTATAAAAAAATTGGTTTAAATAAAACTCCAAGTGATCCTAATATTACTCCTTCTAAGATACTAAAATCGGTTTAATTCTATTTCTTTAAAATAACACAGTAAAAATTAATACGCCAATATTTTAAAAATGTTGTTGCAACAATATTGAAATTACAGTATGTTGCAGACATATAAAGTATTCGTAATTATGTATATAATCTTCCTTATTTTCCTTTCCTCTGCAGAAACGTACAAAAAAACTGTGGTAGCAATATTTTTTATGAGAATATATAAAGATACACACACACACAGAAAGGTAAAAATACACAGTTCAAATTTGCTATGTATCATTTTGTTACGATCTCTTTGTTTCATTCTTGTATAAATAACACAAAATTTAAATGTGACCAATTTAGTTCCGGTTTTTGTAGACATTTTACATATGTATATATGGTATAAAAATTACGAAGGGTAAATAGATAAAACTAGTTTCTAAATCGCACAGCTTATAAAAAAATTAAAATATAAAAAAAATCATAGCTTACGTAGCGCAGTTTATACCTCTCATAAACTAAAAGAATTAATAAAGGAAAAACAACGACAGTATTATAGCCCCTGAATTGATTTTTTATCATTAAAAAAATACTAACCCCTGTAGTTTTAGCTTCCATTCTCCTTTCTATTATAATTTTATTTTCTTTATATTAAAAAACACTTTAAAAAAACAATTCGATTTTAAAACTAAATAAGAACTATGACATATTTCGCGCGCACGCGACACACTAAAGAAGACAAGCGCGCGAATACGCGTAGCGATCGGCACTGGCTGCTAGTTCAACTCACGAGTTGATAACAATTATTGAGACAGTAAAACCGCGAGAGCTCAAGAGATTGCCGCAATCACTTGCTTGTGTCCATAAACAGTTGCATTGCATCGTAATCCATTCCTCTTTAGCCGTAACTTTTTTATTTTCAACAAAAGATTTAGTTGACATCATTGATAAAGATTGTAACCGTCGACTTTCGAATTTTTATTGTTCACAGTCAACTTTTAAAATGCTTGGTAGTATTATATATAAACTTTACGAGGACCTGTTTAGCAATGCCGATCTCATTTTCTATGTTAAGTTTTATCTGCATTTATTATTTTAAGAATAAACAGATTTGAATTAAATTTAGAAACATAGATACGTTTCATTGAATGCAATAAACCCCAGGATTTAATAATTTGTATTTAAAAAAATCTTTATTTAGGTCAATCTTACTAATATTATAATTGTTAAAGTGTAGATGGCTCGACGGTTTCCGATGAAATTTATCGCAGATGTAGAATAGAACATAGTTCGGAAAAACATAGGCCACTTACTAAGTTTTATTTTCAAATCCGCGCAGACGGAGTTGCGGGAAAAAGTTATTATACCTATCTATTTTCGTGGTACTTGTAAATTCGGGAATATTACGAATATTATGTTTGCAACAAATTCAAATAAAACAATTATAGAACGAGCATTAAGTACCGTGAATTTCTACTCGCGTAACATCTGTACGAAAACATGTAACGTAACTTGTGTTTTTTAAATGAGACTTTGAGAGGAGAAAGACAATACTTTCTACACAGGTGTTCCTGCAGTGAAACTTAAGAGCAGAAAACAGTCTACAAATAATTTAATCACAAACAACAAAGGAGTTGGGATGATGCCAATTTGAAATTAAAATGGGAAAGGGAAATAACCTTAAAGCCGAGACCAAAGGTGTTGTGAAGTTTTACAATGTATAGCATAGAATTTTTAAGTTGGTTGATTCTTAGACCTACAAATAAAGCCGATATTTTAGCAATCCTGTAAATAATACTGTTAAATATACAATCATTATACTTACACCGTTAGTTATAAGATCAAATCCTGAAGTTACGTTTAATATTTATACAATTTGGATTGATAGCAAAGAAAGCGCCTGTCGCAATACAAACAGCAATAGTTCTAAATTTCACAGTACTCTAATGCGCAGTATTAGAGTACTATGAAATTTAGAACACTTTTCCACTGCCGAAACACATGTACAAAACAACTCTTTGAATTAAAAGAGAAACTCTGTACCTATCTTGATATCTTCAAATACTAACCTTATCCTTAAAATAGGGTGTTTTAGGGAAAAATTAATCGCGACAATTCTATAAGGGTAAGTTTACAATATCTACGAGAATGTGTAGTAAAATCAAATTACTAAGTTTCACTGAGATCAGACTCAAGTCCAAAAAGTCGTATTCAAACAAAAACTAAATAAATTCTGACCTTACCCTTTTTCCTTAAATAATATTATGCTAATCGCCTAACGGTTTTGGATACTTACTACGAGTTTAGGATCTATAAGGTAGTGGGTGTTCTGTTGTCTGAACAATTACCTAATATCATATAAAAAAGCAAAAATAATTGTATATTATTTATTCTCAACAATTCATTTAATCCTAAACACTGACATCTTTGTTTTCACTACTTTCCACCTCGTGTAAATCGGTGAATCTCAATGTCATATAATTAGTGATGTACTGGTAAGATTGTAGACAAAATAAATATAGATTAGAAGACATTTTGTGGTTACAAATCAATTTTACTGACGCTCCGAATACGCCACTTAAATATCTAGCGCATACAATGCAGAAAAATTGTATAAGCGACGTCTTTTTACCTTGTTGAGCAATTTGTAAATTGTTTTCCATTACGTTTTAACGGCACTATTGAAAATAGTTGTATGTTGATTGTTGCGGCCTCGATGATGTATAGTTAAGTACAGTAGAAGCAACAAGCCTTTCTTGGCGCTGCCGGTATCAGCATCGTGGGATAGGTCTGGGTGAAGACAGTTTTCTTTGTAAATGGATTTAAAGGTTCTTGTGTAGCGATGCGTTTCAGTTCGATGTTGATCCTAGCAAACTTGTCGCCTTTCTCTTCTTCCTTTTTGACCTGCATATAATAGGGACGGAAATCGTTTGAATACATTTTTTTATTTTTTTGTGAATTTTATACTTTTTACTAAGTGCCAAATGTGACATTACTGTTGAAATAATTGCAATGACAAAATATTATTTTTTATTTTTTCTTTATTTAATTGTTATCAAACCTTTTCCACAAGAAAAAAATATAGTAAAGAGGAGATCCTGTTTTATAAAGTATTAATAGAAAGTGCACAAATGAAACGCCTATATTTTTAATGTGTCAATATTTTATAGTTTACATCTCGCGCAGACGGTTGTTTCTTCGTTATGAAAAATATTTTTTAACTCCTTCATAATCAATTTATAATTTGATTTCTTCTTTAGTAAGCTGCTGTTTTTCAGTTGGGACATAATTTCTTTTATTTTTGGAGACAAAGTTGTCTCAGCATTGTTCCTTCGTTGATCCTGAACCTTTTTTACTTCATGTTTTCCCTGTCAGATATAACCTACTGTTAATTAAGACCCTATTAAAACAAAATACAGCAAACGAAAACAAAAGTAAAATAAGCTTTATGAAAAATCATAAAATAGTTTTGTCTCCTGTATTTCGTCTTTTACAACTTTTGTAACCATTACCAAACTCTGATCTATCCATATTTTTTCAGGAACCAAACCACGAACCTCTAATTTTCTTAAACGTTGCAATTTTTAGCCTGAGTGTTCATTCAATCATTTAACATTAGATGGCTCTGTGTATCAGCGCACAATATAAGTAATTTTTTTAATGCTTTTTAAAATTATAATAATTAAAAATTAACGAAGAAACATGTTGTTTTTGAGTTAATATGGTGAAAGACTACTGGCAACACGGAATAAAAATCTTCTTTTTGGCATTGGTATTTTATAAAATGGATTTCCGGGAACTCCCTTCGATACATAAGGTGAACATACCGAACACTGAAACAAGGTTTAATTAGATAAAAAATATATAATGAAAAATTAGAAGTATATGTATTGGCAGAAAGGTATGATATATTATAAGAAGTTAATAAAGACCGTAGGATCATTTATAGTGAGTACTGCAATAAGGAATATTATCTATTGTACCAAATCTACAATTAAAACATTTTTTAATGTGATTTGTTTTAATGCGTTGAATATAACACTTCTTTGTTGGCTAATTTCTCCGGTGACAACATTTTTCTCATACGAGATTTAACATTTTTTATAGATTTTTTAAAGAAGTCATTGACTTTTTTCATTTTTTCTCTGAAAATTCCCATCACGCTACGAGATTTCTTTTTCTTATGTTCCTCCTACGAACAACAAAATCACATATTGACTCTATATTCTTATATTTGATAGAGAACTATGATTTTTCTTTATTAAAATACATTCTTTTCTTGTTAGAAGTATCTACTACTGGCATATACAATTTTGGTTTTAGTTATAGTACTCGTAACCAACCGTATCCCTAAAATACCACTTTTAAGTGCATAATTTTAGTATGGGTACCCTCTATTCAATAAAATGAAATGCAAGTCTTAATACACGTTTATTGCGATTTTAAGTCTCTGTGTTACATATCGTAAGCATATTTATACGCATTACATTGAAAAATAGTCTTGACAGACAGACGGACGGACTACAAAGTGATCCTATAAGGGTTCCGTTTTTTTCCTATGAGGTACGGAACCCTAAAAATGAAGACGCGTCCTTAAGAAAATCCAAAAAATAACCGATTGAAGGTGGGACATTTCAATATGATAAAGTACATACTTAATAAAATTATAACAAAATACTGAGTGTAATTACAATATCACAATTAAAAATATACTTACAGCATTAACAAAGTGAACAAAAATAAGGATTGCGATAAAAAAATATATTAAAATGGGAACTTTTTTCATTTTTATTGCGTTCACTTTTATTTAACCAAGATCTCCTTGTAGAATAACAAAGTGAAGTAAATTTTACTGCATATTAGATTTTTTCTAACGACATACTATAAAATTGTTGTGAAATTTTATATATTAAATACTTGAAATCGAAATATTAAATTCTCTATTTACCATCGAACCATAAAACATTAAAAACTAATCATAAAAACAGAGAAGCTGTAAGAGGATTCGTAAATATTTCTACATTGCCATTATTTCAAAAATCCTTTATATGTATAGAGCACTAGGTGTCGCCCGCGACTACGTCTGCGCGGCAATAAAAAAATCCTTATTACTAGCCCATGTGTTCTTCCAGACTACATCTCTGCCAGATTTCATTGATATTCATTGTATCTTTCCGGAGATACCTGAAGAGCTGTCTTTGCTTGTTCTGATTAACTTAACTTTGTGCCACAAAAGCAAGACTAAATAAAGTAATGAAATGATCACATTTATATTAATTTTTGCTTATAAAGTTGTTGGAGTTGCCGTAAGGGTACATAAGAACTACATAGAGAATAACAACAATATTGATGCTTAGTAAAAAATATAATTTATAACAATAACTAAGTCTTTAAAATGTTGGGAATCTTGCTGGTATGTAATTAACCGGGATACAAGTAGTGAATGTTCTCATTTCTTTCAATGAGTTGCTCGGTGGAATTAGGCATGTCTTGAAGCATTCATCGCGAGTTTGAAAGTTATTCTGATTGCCCCCACAGCCTGAGTACAAGTACCGCTTGCAAGTTCTGCAATACACCAGAGAATATTTATGTCAATAGCTAATTCTAGCATACATTACTGCAATAAAGTTAAAACATCTAAAATCTGAATATTATGTCATAATGTCAGCAAAAAAGATTGAATATCAAGTGATAAATATTTATATTATATTGCTAGCTGTCGCCAGTGAAACGAGATTTAAAAAACATAATTAGTAGCCTATATGTTCTTCCAGGCTATGTTCTACTTCTATGCCAAATTTCAGCGAGATCCATGCAGCCATTCTGGAGTTACCTTCAAACAAACATCACACCATTCATCTAAACTTTCACATTTATAAGATTACTAAGATTAAAATGTTGTAGGGCACAAACTTAAATATATAGAACATTATTAATTTAAAATAAATTTAGAGACTTACTTTGTCAGCTTATCCCAACCCCAGCGGAAGTAATGCCCAAAGCAAGTTCCATAGTCAAACAAAACTGAGCAAAAAAATGGAATATTTGCTGTAAAAAACAAAATAAGATATTTTAGGACAGCAAACAACATGGATACTTAGAACTCAGTTCACTCCAATGAGCTAACAAAATGAGTAATTCTCAGAAATCTCCTAAGGGAGGTAATACTTTTTGCTAAACAAGTTGAAACATTCTTTACCTGTGTGTTCTGTGAGATTCAGTTTACAATAGTCTTTGCAATCTTCGTGAGTTTCAAATCTGTTTCCATTGCCCTGACAACCACCCCAGAAGAACCGGAAGCATCTGCTTTGCTTTACATCATAATACCATTGTATTAAATCCGCTCTGCATGGTCCTGTATCTGGTCGTAGAAAACATGATTTGTGTCTAGCTGGAAAATAAAAATATATATATTCAGTTACATTCATACAAACCTATTAAAAATGTGTAACCAAAATGCTTATCAGTTGCTTGCAAAATTGCCACCTTGTACAATAAGGAAACTATGTAGTATAATACAAATGTGTCTCTTTCTATTCTAAATTAACTAGTTAACATAATAAATATTCCAGATATGATACTATTTATTTTATAACTGGTTAATTTAAATATATTTGGCACCTTTCAATGTATTATCAATTTGCATGCAAATACTTCTTGTGGGGCCAGAAAAGACCCTATATTTTGTTGTTCTTATAGCGCGGAATTCTTTACTTTTCGTACATCTATAATAATGTACATTAAGTACAATTAATAGAAGTACATATTTTAACCATTCATTTAATATTTCCATACTTCATCAAACTAACATAACTAAAGGTTGTAAAGATTATATTGAAAATTGAATGGCAGCAATAAAGCAAATCATAAAATAGTTTTATTAAAAAAAAATATTAACTTTGTGCATTTTCTGCTTTGTATATTATCTTTCTACAACTGTTATAAATGGTTACACTGTTATCCTAATGTTTTTAAAATATATTTTTTTTAATTTAATAAAACAATGTTTGCCTTGACGATCTGAATAAGTTTGAAGATCTCACTGCTTGAGAGATCACTCGTGGTTTATCTTTCTTTACTCCAAATTCGTTAATTACACTGATAAAATAGGAAAATCATTATTTACACCTTTTCTTTCATAAGAACAGTTTAAAATACATATTTTTCCCATACCATTAAAGTCCCGATATAGTTATCATTAGAGTTTTACATAGATACATTCAGAGTTAAACTTGTATTCTTGTACCTTTTTACTGTTAATTTCATATTTAGAGATACAGATAAGCGAATGCTGGTAAACATTTTACTTAATCTGAATGAAAATAGGTTATGTTATATACGTGTCAAGCGGTATTTGACATCTGTCAGTGAGACAAATTGTTTTGATCACAGATAAATAAGGGTATCCAGGAACAGTTTTCAATGCAGATGAAAGTTTAATTCAAATCGAATAACTTAATAAATAAAATAAGTTAACCCACAATTGAAATATATCTAACACTGTTTTAATCTACTATTCTTAATAACAATAAATGAAATGTATCCACCTCAATTAAGTAAAACGAAAGTAAAATTTATTAAAGTAGTAACAAAATATGTACCTATATTTACATAAGAACTACAGTAAAATAATATTGTTAAAACAAATTTTAAAAAGTACAGCTTCTATATTACGATAATGCTAGATTGTTCTTTTTTTTTACAAAAAAAGGAACATTCATTCGAGTGCATCATTAGACAACGCTAGAGCTACAGCACTATTTTAAACTGCATAGTGACGGACGAAACAAAAAGCTGTACGGTGGGCGGGGTGCGTGTGCGCTTTTTGCTCGTGGCAAGGCAACCCGGCACGGTGCCGCACCGGGACCTATTCCTTATTGTATTTTATTCGATTCATAACGCTGTTTCCTTTCTAACGTCTCAGCGACAATTTATAAATTACTTTATAACTTTTTATAACAAACGTTTGTTAGGGCCTCGAGTAAAATGCCGATATGCTGCTAAAAAAGATTTTAACATCTAGTTTTGTTGATAGCAGTTTTGTTTTGCTTTGTGAACGTGTTTTGTAAATAACATTTTAAATAATATAATTTAATATTATATAAAATATATTTAACTTAACGTACATTATGACTATATTTGAATTAGTGTTTCGTTTATTTATTTTTAATTTCATTTATTATGTTACCGGAGCCGCTACTGAGATAAAGGTAATGTTTTTTATTATTATATTATAGTAAGATTATTATGTTTACAGCTTAAGTTTTCACAAATTTAAATAAAAGTTAAATCAGTTTTTAATCGATGGTGGAAAAAACCGTTAATTTTATATTGGCAAATTATTGTTGAAATTCATAATTGAACTTTTACTAAATTATCACGAAAAAATGTAAACTTTCCGTATATTTTATACAACTTTTATCCTTATTCCAATAGATATGTGAACAAAAAAACTTGAAATTAATGCATTTGCGTTGGTTCTATTACTTTATGTTGCAATTTTTTTACGATAGATTTAAAGTTGCCGTATCGTGTTTTTTTCATTTACGTAAACAAAATCTAATTACTTTTATCATCGTTCATCGCTTCTTATCCAAAATACCTTATTAAGACGAAATAAACTTTTTGCAAAAATGATCAATTTAAAATTTGTTAATTTTATACCAATTTTAGATTAAACAAGATTTTTAAAACATAGATTCTATATCAGTAAGCTTCACTTGGGAAACAGCGACTCCTCTTTCCTAATAGGCTACGCACCTAAGACTACCATCGTATTGAGAGATAATGGGTGATCATTTATCATCCAATTATCTAATCCAATGCCCCCCTCCGCTATTTTCGCTGTAAAATAAAACATTGATTTCGTTCGAAGCTCACATATGTTCACAAAACGACTAACCTGAACCTGAAACTATATGTTTTATGTGCAATATTTCTTTTATTTGTGATATATTAATAAAATTGGATTTTCTGTATGTAATATCGACAAAAGAAATTCTTCATATTTCACACTTGATGCTTTTTTTCTGTCAGCCTGCATGTCTATTTGCAAGGCCACGTTTGATCCGGGTATACTCCAGAACGGCTTGACCGATTTTGACAGAACTTTGACGGAAAGTTAGTTGATGCACAGGAATATTATAGACTTTTTTTAGTTTTACGCTGTCAAAGTCGAGGGGGACCGCTAGTATGTAACAAGATCCATAATTCTCAATGTAATCTTAATTTTTCAAAATCCTTAATATACTTAATCCATTATTATAACTGAAATTCACTAGAAATGGTCCTTTTGAAATGGGATAAAACGGCATCACCATTATATATCGACCAAAATACCTGGTAATAATTATACGACGTAATTATTATGTCATTAAAATGTCTTGTAGCATTTAGGGAATTGTTACTTTCGTGTCAGTTTTTGTCACATCCACCAAAATGTTTGGCAGCGAAAACTGGTTTACTGAAGAGGTAGCCCGCTGCGCAAGTTTGCGTGCATCCCAGCTACAGGATGATGATAAATTGTTTTTTTTTCAGCTATGCTTTGTTTTTTTTATTGATTTGTCAAACTACCCACTCCTCTTACTGTCTTTAATCGAATCTGATAGATTAATAATGTCAAAAGAATAGCCGGGAATTAATCGCCTACGTAACGAAGTCGGTTAACGGAAACAGCCGTTTAATCTCAAAACGTATAAAGAAAGTGACGAGAAGATGCACCTATAAATCAAAGCAAACAGGAAATATGTGCCCACACATATGAACTTTTTAAAAAAGAACACATCGATAGCTGTTCAAGGGAACAAAAAATACAATAATTTATTTACAATTCTCTTCTACGAGCATCCATAATGCATTCATCTTATATTAATGGTAGATAAATAACATATTACGTAACCATAGAAATAGATCACTACAAAAATAGATGAAATGCGTCCAAGAACATTAATGGCCATATTATTTAGATTTATGTTCATACGACACGTTTCGTCGCTCGACCATTTTTGTATTCCTTTTTAGGGAGTGTTTGGGAATAGAATATTTATTCAAACTTACCTACGCTTTAGGATAGAATTAATTGTAGATATTTAACGATACATAATATAAACATTAATTTTAAATTTATCAGTTTACATGTTTAGTAGATTTTTTTTTAAATAAATACTCATGTTTTCGAAGGTCTGGTGTTTGCCGTTTTTTTATTACTTCTCTCCATTTAACGTCCATTCTCTATAACGTCGCAAATTGCACGGTCTCTTAAACGATGTTATAAAGAGCTTACGTTATATACGTAAACATTATCGAAGTTACAATTTTTAATTAGCATCATCTATTTGGTTTACCCAATTCTAATTTTATAAGTGTTAACAATAAGGGAGAAACCAAATATTCCCGCAAATGGATAACCTTAATAAATAGCTAATTATGACAAAGAATACGTTCTTATTTTTAATACATACAAGGAAAAAGTATTGCTTTTAATCATTAGTTGATAAGAAATTATAAGAAACAGTACAAACATTGAATAAAATGTAATGAAAATAATTTGAATATTATGTGATAGCAGCGAAGCCTGTTGCTGCCAAACGAAAATTGGCACGAAGCAATCCCTTCACCGAGACATTGTCGCGGACTGAATTTTAAATACTTATTAATACGACCACATTTGTTTAAGGAAAAATAATAACTTTACAATATCCTCGAAGTCTATTGTTAAGTTCGATTGAATGGTCATTACAAAATAATATATTTATTGTAACAAATATGTTGTAATTATTGTGGTTTGTTATAGACTTATTACTGAATTATCGAAACATGTGTAGATCCAATAACATTTTGTTATTTCCCTCGTTCTCTTTTTTTAATGGGGTGACAGTTACTTGTATTACAGGTTCGCTTAATAAAGGGAGTTTACTATATTTTATGAATCTAGCAATAGATTAGTCATAGACTATGTTTCGATTGATGTCAACTGATAGGATCTTCATTTGACTTGTATTTTTATTACCGTTACCGATATGGTTACATTTCTGCATTTTGTTAGATAGCGTTAATGTTGCTAGCTCATTTTCTTTTATCTACTGAAAGTTTATCTTGTTAAGATGAAATCGAACGTTTTAAAATTGATCATGACTGCTTATTAAACGGTCGTTAAATGTAGTGTAGACACTATCCTTTATCTCTCCGTCATCATTTCCCCGTGGTTCTTCACAATCCTCTTATTGTTCTTTATTTTCTACCATAATGTTATTAAAATGTTCTCCAACAATTTGTCGATCACACCTAGTCATAGCTTTTCCTGCACCATAGCTTTTATTAAAACAGTTGTTAAAATTATAATTAGCAATTTCATTGGTGCTGGCGCCGGAGTTGATTTCTTGGGTTTTATTGAGTTATAAAACTAGTACTAAGAAATAGCTACCTAGTCTTTCACAATGTAGTACAATAGGCCATCAATTGAAATGTTCATACTTAAAATTATACTAAATGAGATTGTTTATAAAGCAAAGAAAACGAAAACCTTATTATATGTCCTAAATTTAAATATCTTTCATCTTTTAGTATTAATCTACTTTTGCAAGAAATTTAAAATGAAACGTTTTTCGACTAGCAACAACGTACGTTACATAGAAACACGTTTACACCACAACACCCTATCCTGATAATCGAGATTCGATGCCCGTTGTTTTTACATTTTAAACCCTAACATTCATTATAATTTATCGTGGCAGAACTGATCCGTATTTAGTTCTGAAACTATTACAGGCTGACGATAGGTTTATGTCTAACAACATACTTTTTAAGCAATACTAAAATGATCCATGTACATTTGGTTGTCACAAAGTGCCATCAAACCTGTACAGCTTTGAGCTGCCCGCATTGTCTCGCAACCGATAATCTGTACACAGTAGTCCCTAACGATAATATTTTTTTGTCGTAGAACAACCAAAACAGCGTGACATGTGCAACTCGATTCGCGTCCTGCGAAACGAACACGGGAAGCTCACAGCAGCCGGTGTGCGGGACTGACGGACGGAACTACCCAACCAAATGTCATCTGTTAAAAGCCCAATGCTCGGGCGAACCGATATCCGTCGCCCATAAGGGACCTTGTGTTGGTGAGTACTGTTCTTTGAGATTAAAACGTTTTATGCAATTTATATTTCTTATTTCATCAATATCTTCCTGCCTTTGTCCCTACGGTCAGTTCATGCTGTATGCACTACATGCTTAAAATATTTTAATTCACAAATTTATACAACTACTATAAAATAACAAGGAATAAGCCCTACATATATTCATTTCGTAGTTGCTAATATTATTGTTCGACAAAGTTAGAACAAATCAAAGGGAAGCGATCTAGAAAGTGCCCACTCGCATTTATTGATGGACAATAATTTTCAATTCATGTTCCGCAAAGCGTGTCCAATGTGTTGTGTATTTTACAAATTACTGTAAACATTTTTCTTTTGTTTGCTAGTGTAACCCGTGACTTCGTACGAGAGGAATTAAAAAAAAAACTTATTTGGTAACCAATGTGTCTTTCCAAACTATATTCTACACCCATGCTAAATTTCATCGAGATCCGTTGAGCCCAGATACCTTCTAACAAACATTCATCTATGTATAACATCATATTTATAATATTAGTAAGTTTATTAACTAACAAAATGTGCAGACTACCGGTGACATAACTAGCTAACCTTAAAAACAACCATCTCAATATGCTTATGTAGTTGTTTAGTTTTTATCTAGTGTGGTACAAACGTAATATCAAGTTGAACTGAATTTCTTGAATAACATTATTTGTCTTGTTCTTGACCTTGCTTGCATGTCTATGCTCTACGCTGAGGAATAGGAAGTTTTAACCCGGTTTATCTAATCAATGAATGGCGCTTTGTATTTTGTGTCACCACAACTAATGCACTGTGAACCACTTATGTTGTTTTTTATGTAAAAACAAAAGAAATAAGTAAAACATTCCAATAACAATGAAATAAATAATACACGTCAAATATGAAATCTTACTAATATTATAAATACGAATGTTTGTATGGATGGATGTTTTTTAGAATATATTTCTAGAACGGTATCATATATCTCGCTGAAATTTGGCATAGCCTGGATAAAAACATTGACTAAGTAATAAAGTTTTTTTTAATTGCGCTCGGTCAGATCCGCGGGCGACAGCTAGTAGAAACATAATGAATTATTTTGATTTAAATTCTAACAAAATTATTCGTGCAGCAAGAATTTTTTAATTGTAAAAATTAAGAAGAAAAATGCTATACAAATATACAAATTTTAATTACAAATTAATTATTGTAATTTAATGGATCAGTTTGTATAATTTAGCTATAATTTTATCTAATTTAATTTATTAGAGTACATCAAACTATCTTAATTAATAAATTCCATATTTATTATGTTGTTTACAAGTTTTTTTCAAACGAAATAACCTAACCGAGTACATTATCTATGAAAACCTTATTTGGTACGGATTGACATGTAAATAGAATTATTTTTTTTTAGAAAAAAAAAGTAGTAAATCTATGTGAAGTTTACTTTATAATTAGTATTACATGCGGCTCATAGATATTTATAGTGGCCTTATAAGACTTGGTCCTTATAAGGTGTCCAAAGACGAGTTACAGATGACGTCGACGATAATGTGCTTCGTTATCAGTAATTGTACTACAAATCAGTAGGCTCATCTGTTTTGCACCCTCTGGTCTCTTCAATTTTATCTAGTAAATCTAATAAATAATTAATTAATAAACTCGACTGACTGTACAACACTATGAAGGATACTACCAATCGTATGGTAGTGTTCAAAATCAGGAACCGCTGGTTTCTGAGACTGGACCAAAATTTCTGTATAAAACATATCATCCTTCTCACTATCTTAAGTTATCTTTTAATCTGGGATTACGGTCTCAGAAACTCAGAATAAGTCGTTTGCAAAAAACATTACCATCTACTCGATATGTTATCTATAATTGATTTATTTATACAATGTATTATTTATTTATAATTCATTACATTTATTAATAAGCGTGATATTAGTTATGAAATAAAATTATTACGCGTGTCTTGATAGTAAACGAGACAAGTTTTGCTTGGAAGCAAAAATGTGGTAAATTCGTTTTGCAACGAAGCTGCGAAGCAATTCATTACTATGTTATTAAAATGTATGAGACATGTATGTTTTAAAAATATAGGAATGGTCTATTCCATAAGTGCATTTTATAGCTAAAAATATATGAAGAACTAAATCCGTCACGTCTTCTAAACTTAAGCAAAAAAAGTTTTTTTGGGATTTCTTATTATGAGAAATAATAAAGATTATTTAGGATACTAGAAAATTATAGTAGATATTCTTTAATGTGTGTTATGTGTTTTGTATTATAACAGGGCAGTCAACTTGTCTGATAGTGCAACGGTACGCTTTGAGCGCTCAAGGTGGGCGCAGGGCTGCGTTTGTGCCCCGCTGTCGCGCCGACGGCACCTACGCGTCCGTACAGTGCGCGGCCGCCGGGGCAGCAGCAGGCTGCTGGTGCGTCACTCCTGACGGCAAGCCTCTACCCGATACGGCTGTCAGAAACGGCAGACCAGACTGCACGAGGACCGGTGAGTAATTTTGATGGGCCCTGCGATGCGTTCACTACACGTAATTCCTTCACTGATTTACTTTGCTGCGCGAGCTGACTTGTTTGCAAGATGCACACGATATCACTTGTATGTTAATTGCTTTAATTGAAAATGTAGTCCGCAGATGGAAACAAAACGACGCGACTGTGTACCTTATCTGATTACAATAAGGTTATTTTTAAAATCAACAGCCGCTTCGACAAACAATGTTTTCAGCGTGAGATATTTGCTAAGATTTCTATTTACATTAACATTGCATTTGTGTTATTAAGGATCTCGTCTGTTTTGAGGAAAATTACGTCTAATCTTTAATGTTCTATCCTCGATTTTCTTTGTACCTAATTTCAGTACAAAAATCATAAATAATTGCTAAACATTGTGTGAAATTGTATAGTATATAAGATTTTCTTATGAATTTTATTCAAAGTTAAGAATTTAGAAAAATAAAACGTAGAGCTCACCTGTGATATTGAACATGTGTTCCATTGAACGCGGTATTGTAAATAACGGTCTCGGGATAGTTGCACACAGTAAACATTGGAGCAGATGAAAGCTGTAGTTTACATTATACCGCTAGTGCTCTTGGAATAAACTATACCTACAGTAAGATTAATTTAATCTATTCGGAGATATCGTGACTAAGATTCAAAGGAAAAACATTAGAACATACAAAATACAAGAATCACATAATTAAATATGTATACTATTTTAATATCAGATAATTCGAAACGTCTCCAGTTTACGTTAAAATAAATATATAGAATCTATTTGTTATTGTTTCAAATACACTTGCGCGTTAGCCAAATGTCTGTGCAATGTTTTGTGGAAAAATACAGATTCTCAACTGTTTGTGATCTTAAACAGAGCTAGTTTGATGATTAATCTCTTATTATAAATTATTTGTTAATAACACTTATAAAGTCTACGTCTATATTTATTTATGTAGACGATGTAGCAGAATTTTATGATAATGATTAAATGCATTCCTTCTTCAATACGAAATTGATGAAACCTGTAAAAAATTGAGAAGCGTAGAAAAAAGGTTACTTATAATCTGATTCGTATTTATCCACCTGGATTTCTGCAATCTGTTTGTCCATCTTGTTTCAGTCTATTAAAATATCTTACAGCTTGCTTCGTTATTGCTGTCTGAGCGTGTTTATGCTTCGTCTTGACAGTAACTGATTACGACTGCATCTTTGTTAGTTGTAATAAATTACTTAAACCAACAAACTTAATACAAAATATATCACTTAAAGAAAAACATTATAAAGACAAATAATATTTTATGTGTATGGAGTGAGAATAATTTGACATTGATTCACTTAAAAAAATCTAATACTGTCCACTGTATAAATAAAGCAATTTATACGTTATAGGTAAAATTTTGTAGGGTTATTTTTATCGATTAAATGAATCATTTTTTAATTTCACTTTGGAAATGTTTGTCAGCAAGGTATATAGCGGTCAGGGGCTTACAAAGGCGGAAGACTCCAATCCCGACTTATTTACTAGACAGGTGCCTATTATCTTATTAAACGACATTGATGCAAACGGGAAGATGCGACGTATTGAGATGCTATATTATTGTCCTCATGGGTGACATGTCAGATTACAAAGAGACATAACATTGCATTCGTCTAAACATTACTACAGAACACGAGCACTACTCTTTAATGTAAACATTTTTGCATACAAAAATACACTCAAAGTATATCAGTTTTAGGGTAGCTTTCGGTTTAATCTTGGATAAGAACTCTCATTCTTCCGACTGCTTTTGTTTACATAAACCCTTATGACAACCTACATGCATCTGAAAAACTGAGTCAAAAAATATTTGAATGCGTCAACTGTTTGCATTTTAATAGCGACATAGTCATATTATGTCTGAAACAGGCCAGTAGATTCGGACAACTACAGGTTAGAATTCGAAGTTACACATTAAATAGATCAACTGTTTTTAATGTCACATGTTATCTAACGGCTTTATTGCCTTTGGTTTAAGGTCAAATTATCAAACATTTTTTATACCAACGACCATGCGAAACATTGTAGTTTTGTCGTGTATTCGTCTGTTACGAATTGGGCAATAATCACGGACGGAAACGAGAAGTAAGTCGAGCACGAGACGTTACAACGAAATGAGTCAACCTCAATGTTGTCTCGGGTTTCCACTACCGAAACTTCCAAACAAAAACTTCCGTTGTCTCATTTTTGTTATGGAGATTATGAGAGATGACTATATGCTTTCTACAAATGTTTCTACAATGGGAACTCGCGGATTGCCTGGTCATCACGATCTTATGAAGATTAATTCGAAAATTATTTTCACCGACATTAATTTGTTAGATACCTATACGTAGCAGTGACCCAAAGTGAGGCTTGGACTCAGACAAGAAAAAGTCAGCTAATTTAGAATACTGCAAAAATAGATAGATACTAAACATAGAAATCCGGTGTTCACTCGTATTAAAATGTAGTCTCTATTTGCAATACTCCGTTAGATTTTAATATCATTTAAAATTTACAACCTATCTTCAAATATGATAGCGCATTGGAATTATATAAAAAAAGTTATTGCAGTACTAAAATTTTAATTGGTCTTAGAACATCGCGTTAGTTTCGTCTCGCGCGCCTATCGAACAGGATGTACCGCATTCTAGAATTGTTGAATCACAACGGTCTGTATAAAAATGCCAGGAAACTTATTTAATGTCCAGCTATAAAGGAAAAGCTTCTGGATCAGTTGCAATCTATCTTCTGTCATCTCAGCCGTCGCTCGTTTGTGTGACGTGATCATCCATCCAGGATTGCCAGTATGCACCACCACACTCATAACTAAAATGTTCCTATTCACATGCGATTCTTCCCTCCTCCTAACATGCCCATACCACGCTAATAGGTTGCAGTGCATCTGCGCAGTGAACCTTTTTGGTTGCTTCGACATTACTTTGAATTTTTTTCAATACCTTGACACTGTAACTCATCGCAAAACGCGCCGGCCGGGTTCACTTATTCAAAGGAAAGATATCTTGGAAAGAAATCCGTTCATGTAGTTTTTCATATCAGACAGCTACACCTAGCGAGTTGAATTTATTTTATACTACGCAACGATGCTTATTTTTTTTACGTTTTAAAAATAAACTCAGGTAAAAACTGGAGTGACTCAATAATCTATCGAAACACGATTCGATTTTGCACTCATTCCTTAAGGGGAACATCGCTTAAGTGTGCCTATATAACATACTAGCATTTGCCGCGACTTCGTTCGCGCGGTATTTAAAAAAAAAAGGAAACGGGATAAAAACCGCCTTCTATCCATGTCCCCACTAATATTCAGCCAAATCGGGTCAGCCGTTCTTGAGATATAAATAAATAGTGTAACTTACACGACTTTCTCTTTTATACATATCTTTTTTACATAGATTTCTCTGAATAATTACTATTAATACATAAATAGTTTTTTAAGCTCTCGATGTTTACGAAAGATTAATCAAGTAAAGATTGTAAAACTAATGATCGTTTGAACAGAACAGTTATTTCTTAAAAAATATACCGAGACCTTGAAAACGAAATTTATATCAGTACAAAAAAAACACTTATTTGAATATAGCACGCAATTTGAAACGATCAAAGCCTTAAGACATAATCGGATTAAAATCGAATTAACGTTTCGAAGTGGCAGCTTTCCGTTTCTAAAGACAGAACGTTGTATTCTATATAAGGACAAAGATTATCTTCTTTTTGAGATTCGCAAACGACCGCAATTAACTGTCTGACACGCATAGCCGCTTAACGCGGCAAAGACTCCTTTAACATTACTACAATTAAATCGCTTTTAAGAATTCAATAAGAGTTACGTCATCATGCAACTAATCTATAAGAACAAAAATTGTGACAATTTTAGAAGACAATGTGACTTTCTGTATATCATATTATCTTATAATATTATAAATACGAGAGTTTTAATCGATGGATCTTTGGTTGAAGGTATCTCTTGAAAGGTTCGACAGATCGTGACGAAAAGCACATATGCAAAACATAGTCTGGAAGAACACGTAGACTACTTACTAAGTTTTTTTTTAATAATCCGCGGACCGAGTCTGGACGACAGCTAGTTAGTGTATGTGTCTTTTAAATTGGATTAATTAAAACATATTTTTTATAAAAGATGTACAATTAAAATCAATAAAATAAATTCTTGGAATCGTAATAACTGAATTAATTCATTACTGTCAAACGAAATATGCGTGTTGTAGCAAACGTTGGATGGTTTTTAATCATTTCAGTATTCATGCGCTTGGTAAATGCACAAATTATAATTACTAATCAGGTTTCACTTTTTAATAACGATACACGATATTATTAGAGAACTGTCGATCGTTTTATATCCATTTATATATTAAGTCCTATGTATAATAAATATTTCGATTATTTTTCCAAAGCGGACCGCGATGTATAGTGGTAGTTTCAATTCCGACATTTTTGATTACTAACATGCACATGCTACCTACACTTACGTTTGAAACTGATTAATTAACTAATTGAGAAAATTAATATGAAAAAAAGATTTGATCAATTGTGGCTAATTTTTTACAAAACTACTGAACTAATTTGAAGAATTCATGAATAGAAATGTCCAAAACGTTAGTTAAAACAATAACATATGTGGTCGTTATTAAAATAAATGAAATAAATAAAAAATATGTATTAAAAACTTTAAAATCGACAAAGGCTTATTAATGTTAATTTTATCGTCTACCATTGAAGTAAATGTTACTCGCTTTGAATTCCTAGAGGTTCGCTGGCTCTGAGTTGCATCCATAATAAATGTGTATAAGTAATAATGAAATCCATGCGCACCAAAGTGCAATATGAAATAACACCATAAACAATTGTTCTCGGAATGTTCGTCTCATGTTTTTTTATTGCCTATGACACTTTCGTATTCCATTGAAGTATAACATTCCTTAGCTTTGCGACTGTCTATTTTATAGTTACATATCGATTTAGTAATGATATAAATTCTTTAACAATATGAAGAAAAAACATCGGTCACATTTTTTATTATTGTAAATTATAATTGTTCATAAAGTTACTAAACGATAAAAGACATTTAATGATCCGAACCTAACTTATAAACTAAATAACAGATCCATAATTAACGGATTATCACAAGTACTCTAATATTTACAACCATTCAAAAACAATTCAATATTCGAATTAAATATAATGTATCTCATCATCTTATAAACGAGCAGAGTGATTTAACTTTGAACAAAATGAAATCTGTTCTCTCAATTCATGGTGTTAAAAAAAGACGTTAAAACCAGCTTAGATGGCGCGCTCGTGAATCGGTTTTAGAACGCATTCGTGTCCTATAGAGTGTCTGGTTGGCTTTCTCGGAAACAGCGGATCGTAAGAGTCAGACTGCTCGACGCCGGATCACAATGGTGTCCAGTTTTTTTGTCTATGTAACAACGCGAAGCGTACCCGCCGTGTCGAGAGGCGATAGAAAAAAAACACCCAGACACCATTTAATAGCGTTGTCAGGATAGTTCGCTGCACCTTTGATGTTTTATATTTAGCTTAGGTACCTGCTTGTGCCACATAATCATCTCGTTAAGGCAGAGTTACAGGTTACGCGGATCGGATGTTTTTCGGCAACGAAATTGGAACGCTCGCGTTTCGAAATCATTTTCGAATAGTTTTATGTTAACGATTATTTTCTTGTTAATTCTATGAAGTGATAAATAAATTAAGGTATTAAAATTTATATAATCACTAAGTATTGTTACATATCGCTAATCCTTCTTTCGGTCTGCGTTTGAATCGAAAGCTAATCACCGTTTCAATGTTAAATGTTCTTCAAACAAATTGTTTTTTTAATACTATGCAGACGGAATCGGGGGCGAGAGCTAATATAATGAAATCTCAGACCTTTATCTCTCAGGTTTGAAGTCGAATATAATTGGGATTAATCCATAACAAACCCAATACAGTAAAAATGCGTCTTCATTTAATGCAGTGTATCTCGTATTTATTAAACTGTAATTGGGTCAGTAAAAAACTGCAAGCGGTATCCTGGCCGGTTGGATTAAGCCGTTATTATTTTTTTTTTCATAAAAAGATATCAATTTGGTACGTTCGCTTAATTTCTACATATATTTTCTTTCTATTCTATATGTGTTACTATTAAATAATATATATTTTAATAACCTTACAATATCATATAATAGTTATTTTTTTAACGTGTCACCGGTCATCAGTAATTAAGTTAGGTTTTAATGTATCATAAAAGGTCACATCACTTTTAAGACCGGTTGCCCCCTCCTCTCTTGCATTCCCTCGTCCCTTGCGCCCTTCAGGAGGCAACACCATGCCCTTTTCGTCAAATTACACAATCACTAAGATGTTCTTATGACCAAATCTAATAATCGATCTTCAATCTTGTTGTTTATCCATCTTAAAAACGATCGCCTAACTAAGCGATAGTCGTGATGTATGCTTGTTGGTATTTAGCTTTTTAATATACAAATTTATGACCTTTTGACTAAAAGGTTCATATAATCACTACCAAGATTAGAATATATCTATAAAATTTAGTTATAACAGTTATCTGCAATGTATAAATTTGCATAAGTCAAAGCGCACAAAGTAATCAACATGAGCAATTGCTTTAATAAACAAACCGCAGAACATTGATGATGGATTAAGCAATTATCAAAAAAATTAAGAATGTCATAAAATACATATTACAATGTTATTATAGGTACAGGTCAAACATTTCCAAGTTCACCAAAAAGTTGTCATATGCATGGAACATAACACTAGCATACAGCTAAACCTAACACTATCCATATACACAAGTCTAATAACAAATGAGGAAAAGAAAATAAGTTGCAAGCCATTAAAATTAATGTGTTTATTCAAGCCTGTCTGGCCCTCGGCGAAGCAACTTTTAATTTGCATGTGGTGAACGAAAAAGTCACGTTGCCCGCCCTTCGCTAACGATTTATCAATTCCGATAATAATAAGCTGCGACTAAAGATTTATTGAGTGTCGTACCTTTGAGATATCTCGCTAAAACATTCCAGCTCGGGTTCCTAGATATGTGTTGATTTAAGTGGCCAGCTATCATAACCAACTGTCGCCCGCGACTGTGCCCGCGACACCGCTTACCACACTTATAAATAAACCATGGAAATAAATTGCTGTCTAAGTCAACACGCAAACATATTACCAAATAACTTCGATATAAACGTAACGTCAACTCCATAGATTAAGGAATTAAAAGAGATAATAAATTACAATTATCTCTTAAAACTAGGAAAATAAACTCATTTAACTTTTGACAAACTTCTTACTTACACATTTACGAAAATGAACCGTGAAATCTTTGCAATTCTTTTAATCTAATAAATTCCGTAACCAGACCTAAAAATATATTGTTAACCTTATATAAATAGGTACCTATTTAATTTTTTTTACAATTAACTTATTATGACCTTTACGAAGTTAAATCTAGCCGGTTCCTCTCAGCTCTGTCTACATTAGAAAATCTTATTGTTTAGTATATGAATAAATCGATGAAGTTCTAAGATTTTGCTGCAACGATTTGCTATCGCAGATTTGCATAGGTACAAAGTTCCGACCACAACCCTTAGGCGCAGGGGGCGGCTTATATTAATGTGTAAACAGATATCTAATTATAATTCACTAGCTTAATTGAAATCAAAATAATATATTCTTATATAGTTTCAAGTATCCATTTTATAAGACGTTAAATTTGATAGTTTCCCGTGCGATTTAGTAATAAGTTTTTTTCCCAGTCCTTTCTTATTCGTTGGTCACCTTAAGTTAAAACAATGTCCTTGATACATTTTAATATTCATTATTCTTTATTGACCTTCAGCGAATGATGTAAATGCATAAGCGCGCGCAAAAGCTTAAAAAGGTCCTTTATGTTTTATGTATAATACACAGTGCGTCGCTTTCCTGACAATTCCACAAACAGACCGGATTTTTTACGTCTTATTTTTCGCAGGTAAATCACACACGAGGCGGCGCTCGTCAGTTCGGGGTCAACGAAACAAAAGAAGTAAGTTACTACCTAACAAGAATATATTCGCGAACGCTATTTTACATATTAAAGGGAACTCGTGTTAAAACTTATTTTTCATATCTATTGTTGTCAAACAATATGTTGTCGAACGATGATTGTGCACTTCAATATCACTAAACATTGTTAAGATATCTATCTATTTGAAATATATTTAAGGAAGTTCGTTTTGTTAGCAAAAATATCTGTTTATGGAAATGATTCCTTTGTTGTGTATACGGTAGGTAAAAAGATTAAGATAGGTTTAGACTCGTGTTCACCTTTGCCATATAGATACCATCAGCTGACGTCTGTCTAAAACTTTGTGCTACAATGAGTACTAACATTCAGTTAAATAACTAATAATTGGTTTCTGAGACCAAAATTACAGATATAACAATTGTTTCAAACGGGAAATTTGGTATCAGAAGCCCACAGTAAGATGTAAATTTTTGCAAGCACGATTCAAATTATGCCAAAATATTTAAGGTAATATGATGCAATATTAGTGCACTGTTAGGTGTTAAAAAAGAATAATATAACAATAACATGTTCGGCTATTTATTAAATACGTTCATAGATTAATGAACAGGTACACTGTGCGACTTCCTGGAAGAAAACGCGTCCGCACTTCATAACTTGCAAAAAACCGTCAAGACAGTATGCAGCTCTCTTATTACATCAGACGTTTTTTATTTATGCAATTTATTATCTCGTCTGGGCTCCGATTGACAATTGCGTTTTTAGTTATTGACCGTTTGATTTATAGAGTTCAATTTACATTCCAACATTACGATAGTGCGTGTACATTGCCGCTGATAAGTTGTTGTCACAATTCTTATTTTAACGTCATTTTCCTCATTAATTTAAAAAGAACAAGTAACAAATGATTTCATTATTTGTTAAGGTTGCACCAGGATTGACCGCGTACAGTTTAATGGGAACTTGATAAAGATATTTAGTGGTGAATATGAGAGAGTCCGTGCGGAAACTGGAGGTGCATCGTTGGAGGCTAGAGCTGTCGCTGAATGGAAGTTTCGAGAACTCGACAGAGACAGGAGCGGAACTTTACAGAAGTCTGAATACAGAGGCTTACGACGACTAATTAAAAAGGTTTGTTCATTATTTACTCCTTATACAAGATATCGTGTCTTTTATGTCTACAGGGATATAGTGATTATTGTGGATCGGGATAGGAAGTAGGATTTTTACTAGTCATCTTCTGAGTATAAATTGTATTTGTAATCTATTAAAAAAATAACTATAGAAAACATTGGCTTCATATAAAATTGACTTATTGAAATTCGAATGCTCTATTAAAGTTTGGTCCTTGATACTAATTGATAAACTACATGTAAGAATTGATTAAATGTATTGCCTTTATGAAATTCTACTTGGGAATGTGTTTACGGTTTATTCTTTTTATGCATTCGGTTGTTGCTTTATTCCTATAGTATTCTACAATTAAACAATATTAAATTATGTAACATTATAACATTTAAGATTGTTACATTAAATTTTGTAACATTGTAGGTGGTGAAGCCGAAGCGTTGTGCACGTGCATGGGCGCGTGGTTGCGACGGGGATGGTGACGGTGAGATAGCTCGGGCAGAATGGGCCTCCTGTCTCCTCGCCAACCCAGACCCACCTGCACCGGATTGTGAGTACCACCATACTATCTGAATATTCAATAGAATTCATAAAATAATGATTCCTCAAAGTTTCTAAATAATCTGCAGTACACAGGTAGCGTGGGGCAGTCAGCTATTTGGTAAAAAAATATTGTTTTTACTCGTTTTCATTATAATTTGATCATGTGATTCCGTAGAGAGTTTAGCAACAAAAACATTGCTTTTTATTCATAAAGATAAAAACATTACACCCATTTATACTGGAATGTAAAGTATGACGAATCGGTGACTACAAGAGATAAGTAACTGCGTAATACTGGTTACTGCGGTTACCTACTTGCGGTTACTGTTAACTAAACTTCCATTTGGGAAGGCGGGTCATGATTATTGAGACAAATATAATAATAAATCTACAGGAAAACTATTGGTCTTATAAGTTTTTTGTTTTGTTATATATTACCTTTTTAGGGTTCCGTACCTAGAAAGGAAAAAAACGGAACTCTTTTTGGGTCACTTTGTAGTCCGTCCGTCTGTCTGTCAAGACCATTTTTATTTGGTTAATACAACTAGATGATTTCTTATAGTACCTTCATACGATTATTACTACGTTATTTTAGCCCAAGAATTGATGTGAAGATTGAGAAGAATTGAAAGATGGATCCAATTTATCTTTTGCTTTACAATAAAATAAAAAAATCTTTATAATTAAACAATCCCAATGTGTGCGCAAACATAATAATAATATATAGTCTCTCTCCGTTTCTTCATGTCGTTGAATGCAGACGACGACAGCGGGCCGGACCCTGAGGCGGATTACAACGAAGAGGAACCGCCACCAGATCCCAGCGCAGGTACACAAAACTTAGACTGTATGTCTATATGTGTGCTGGTACATCTAAAACACAATTTTCATCAACCTGCACTTTCCTCTTTTATATCTATCAACCATTTAATAATTCACGCCTTTCTTACAATAACTCGCACAAAATCCATTCATATCTTCTTCTTTCTTTTCAACTTTATAGCTATAAAATTCAAATTGATTACTTTCTTCTTTATGTAATCATTGTCTCTTATAATATGTCCAAACCACAGCTTGCTTTTCAATTGATATGTCGCTAGCCTATTGCATTTGCAGTTATTGCACATTTGAGTGACTAGGACTTAGTCAAACACGCTGGCCTATTGAGGGTTTTTAATTTTGATTTTTTCGTAAATAAGTGCAGGTTGTCATTATGTTTTTTCGTAAATTTTGTGAAATTAGCAACATTTCTTTTCTATAGTTCTACCTGGAATAATGAAAAATTCCTTCGCACCTGACGGATCCGATCCGGAGTCACGACGTGAAGACGAGGCCAACGATTGTCTCACCGATCGACAGGCAGTATTGGAAGAACAGGTTCGATTTATTAACTAAATTATTAACAATTTTTACTAATGTTATGTGTTCCTTATTATAAATATTGCCGATGCGAGGATTGAACACGCAATGCTTGATTTATTGTATTGCCGAGCGATTTTGCACAACTTGTTTTATATGTAATTTAATTAATTCAATGGTCTGTTAAAGAAATATTTGAACGATTTGCATTTAAATTACATTTTCTTTAAGTTTTCTTCAAAACTGAACAATGAAACTCTAAACATGTGTTGTTGTTGTAACTTGAAATTAAGATGCATTTTTTCGATTTAACACTAATTTAAAGTGCTTGGTAAATAACTTTTCGTGTTTAAATGTTACTTATATTATATTATAGTGTGGTTTAGTTGACTTTTAATTCAATTCAAAACGTCAATAATTAATATCGGTTTAAAAGAAAAATATAATTTTCTACGAGAGTTTTTAAAGCGTAGCGAGATGTTTTTTTAAATATTTGAAATATGTAATAACAGATAAAAAATTTAAAAATAGTTGTTCGTTATCAGTTACGCAACTATATATTATGTTTGAAATATATATTTTTATACTACATACAAGTACTCCAATTTTATTAAGATTTGTAAAAAAAATTCCTACGATTTTTGCCGCATTGACTTTTATTAATTAGGTAAAAATTGTAGAAAAATTATGTTTTTATATGATGATTTATTGAATAATATAAATAAATTAGATATAATTTGGTTTAGAAAAACGGCAGCGCAGTACTTTACGTGCCAGAATGTACTGGTGACGGTAGGTACGCTCGTGCTCAATGCTACCGCTCCACCGGGTACTGTTGGTGCGTGCATCAGGACACAGGGAAACCTATACCAGGCTCATCAGTTAAAGATCGAAAACCAGACTGCGATTCCGCTCCACAACATGCCAGCCCAATGAGAGGTAAATAATTTGCCGATAAAGAAGAATTACGATACAGGAATATGTTAAAGAACCGTGAAATTCATTTTTTTAAACATAACTAAAAATTGATTACTTTGATCAAACTTATTTAGTTTAAAATTACATAACTTGGTCATTCATTTTTATGTATTAACTAGCGGTCACCCGCGATTTAGTCTGTGCGTAATTACAATAAACTTAATTAGTAGCCTATTTGTTCTTGCACACTATGTTCTATATGTATGCCAAATTTCATCGAGATCCGTTAAACCGTTTTGGATATACGTTCAAACAAACATCCATCCATCTAAACATTCGCATTTATAATATTAGTAAAATATGCGTGTCTGATAGAGGAATTAGTTTCAAAGACATTAAGGTTATCTTGAACATTTTGATAGTCCTTTTGGTAATGTTTTCAGGATGTCCAGAACCGATGAAGTCTAATTTCCTACGAGATCTCATGAATTTCTTTATAACAAAAATGACTGCTACCAGCAACGGCACAGGACCTGGGTATGTATAACAGATTTCAACTTCCAAAGTTTTTAAAACGAAATGTTTAAAAATAAAATAAATTAAAATAAATCTTTTTTATTTATTTACACGGAAACACTCGTTTTTCCTAAATTTAAGTTTCTAATAAACATTAAATATATAATATAGTAAAGTCAGTTCACTTTGTAAGAAGTTTTTTTATAAAATTTCTTTGTGTTGTCTCATCTGTTTCAGTGAAATGGTTAAATGGGGTGCATCAAAAGAAGAGCAAGCAGCTACATGGACATTCGTGATGTTAGACAAGGACAAGAACAAAGCATTGGAAAGAAGAGAATGGAAAGCATTCCATCAACTTATATCCAATGTGGAACAGTTACGTAGATGTGGAAGGAAACTGCCGAGATATTGCGACGTAAACCACGACACGAAAATTAGTATTACAGAATGGATGGCCTGCTTGGAAGTACTACAAGCAACTCAAGGACATTCGAGTAAGAAAACACTATATTTATCATCATCAGCTCAGTATACGGCCCCACCGAGGGGCCCAGAGCCTACCCTAAGTTAAGGGTGATTAGGCCATAGTCAACCACGCTGGCCACTATAATTTATTTATTTAATAATTTAATAATAAAAAATACAGACGAATTGATAACCTCCTTTTTGAAGTCGGCTAAAAATCACAGCAGCAGGCCAACGCGTTATCTTAGAAGAGTAGACGCCCGGGACTCCGTCTGCGAGGAATTAAAAATTATTAGAATGTGTTTTCTCAGACTGACTCTACATCGATGCCAAATTTTAACGAGATCCATGCAACCGTTCTGGAGATACCATCTAACATCCATCTAAATATTCGTATTTACAATATTAGTAAGATATTTAATTCAACTTAATAAGTCTATGTATTTCATTTATCGAAAAGGCTCATCTGTTTTGGTAATTTACGAGCTTTTGATTGCACTAACGTTTACGATTGTGCTTATCACAAAAGGACAATGGACAATGTTCTTACAAAGTCACATAGTATTCAGATATCGTGACTCTTTAGTTCGTGCGAAAGCAAAGAACACAATTTTATTTGTAAAAATGCGCGGGGACGGTACTTGAGCCTCCAAGATATTTGAAAACAATTATATCATCAATATTTTCTTTTAAAGAAATGATAAATAACATGATAATTTATTTTTCAGCGGAAGCTACTAAAGTACCACCAAATCCAAGACGAAAAGGGCCAAATCCTCTGGAATCGATTCTCAAAGCGGAAGACTAAGTTCTCAGTAACATTGAACAGAAGTGTGGTGGCTATGATATACCAGTGTGTAATGGCTTTGTGTGTTAAGGAAGCTTAACTTGCCTCGCGGCTAACGCCCGGTTTCTGAAAAACTTTTCCATACTCCATTCAACTACTCTTCTTTTAGCTCTAAAACTTTTGATGATCCAAAAACTTCTTTCATTTTGATCTGTCTTTGGATTCGGTTTACGTCCTCTTTCTACCGAAGCTTTAGTCTCCTTCAACCTCGATGGGAATAATAATATTCAACTCGTCAATTGAATGACATAACAGATTAGAATCATATCAGTAAACCAAATTACAAGTATAGTCCGATAAATTTATCTGACCTGATTGAAATCTAAATCACAATCGTCAACAAAATGCTTATTATAGCTGTCTTGTCATCTGTACCATTTACTATGTTTATGCAAGTTTTACATATTTTCTGATGGAAATAATTACAATTTTTCAGTTGCTTGAAGTTGTAATTGTGTAACTTTGAAACTTTAGAAACCGGGCATAACTATCATCTGAGATCATTAAAATTAGATCAGTTATTTATTCAAATTACATGAATGTAGGATTCAGCTAGTCTTGCACTGTTTCATTTCTTTAAAAGTAGACAGAACAAATAAAGGCTATGGACATTTATATGTCGACAAAACTTTGTCATTCGAAATAAGTTGGCACATCGGGATAACAGAACACTTGTATCCGGCGTGCCAACTCAAACGGGATTGTATGTAAAGTATTGCTGTCATATCAAGTGTTTATTTAGATCTTAAAATGCAGTAAAAATGATTGTTACTAAAATATAAAACATTGATATTGAAATAAAAATATTGATAAATCAATTTAAATAAAGTACTTAGGTAAATAGTGAATAAGGGATAAGAACAAACTTTTTAATATTTATTTCTAATTTTTTTTTACTTTGAAAGCCAAGTTATATGCAACTATTCTATACACATATAATGTTTACAGTCGTAACGTACGTTTCCACATCAGAAACATGTATAAAAAGCTTTTTATTACTTTTGAAGATCTGTTGTGTCAAGGTCATTTCAATATCAATGTTTTATTAAAGATTAACATCCTATTTTTAAATTAATATGATCATTGACTTTATTATTTCGATGACATAGATTTTAATTTATAAAACAGTGTTTATAGGTAGCTATTATTTTGTAGTCGTTTTTTAAAATATAGTTCAATATCTCTTAATTATGTTGTGTGATTTTCTATAAGCATTTTTTTTAATTTTCTTTATGTATATGGATTTATTGTTGCCATGCTAAATAACAATCGGCTAAATATTTAAGAACTGCGCTACAATTTAAAAAGTATTAAATATTACATTTCTTGTAATAAACGTAAGAGTACTTGATTACATTATGTATGTACCGCTTATAAATTTTTCTAATATTAACAGATTATTTAGTCAGTATGAAATGTAAGGACTATGTGATATTTTTTTTTCATTATTATTAATAAATATTTAATAATTGAAAACATCAATAGTGTTTCATTTTAGGAAAAAAAATCATAAATTACTTTGTGCAATGATATCATCCGCCATTTTGTGACGGCAGCCATCTTGTATTTAATATTTTTAGGCATAAAATAAGGGAGAAAAGGTGTGTATTAAAAATCAATTTGTGTTATAGTGGAGATAAAATTACAACAATACAAGATTTATCTCATGCAAGTTAAATAAAAGTCTTAATTTCCTTCTACTGTTTATTGAGAATATACTTTTGTTTACATATGTTGTATAATTTGCAAAAAAAAAATGTTTTTTGCATTTCTAATGTATATTTTTCTACTTGACTACATTACTAGTAAAAGTGTGATATTCGTTTACGACATTTTAAACAACTATTTCTAACGGATAACAGATAAAAGTCATTCCTCTAAGCTTTGAAACAACCTAATACTAACATATGTTAAATTTGACTAAAATTTATTTACATTAACAATGAAAGAGTTACAGAATATAATGTGTATATAAGACCAGCTTAAATTGGTACATGTGCAAAATTCAGTCACGTGGTACACTTATTAATAATCAAAATACGATAACTGCAATACATTGGCAACAGTAAAAATAATAATTCTACATGACAACAATTATTAACGGTATTAAACAAGCAAGGTAGTGGGAAGTGGACTCATCAGGAAAGGAAAGGGAAATTCCTCTTTCTATACATCCCCATCTCCATTTAAAGTAGGTAATGCAACAACAATTCATCAAAGTCTATGGGCTTATCGGTTATAAATTTCTCACATTATATTATTGTAAAAAAAATTGTGTTTGTCATAAACTTTGATAATATCCAATAATATTTTATGAATACCTTTGTCAAAAATATTAGATTATTCACCATAATTACATCCGCCTTTTTAACATAATTACAAATAGTTCTATATTCAAGGTTGCAACTAGAGTTATCAAGAACAGACTACATCTCTGTCCAGAGCACATAATCTCTAAAAACTAACATGCAAGATCATTTCATAACATTTAGCATCTATATATTTCCTACAACACATCAACTTCAACTATCATAAATCCAACAGATTTTCTCAGCCTCTATTAACAATAACAATATTTAGCAAAATCTTCATTAGCTCATGAAGTTAATTTTTCTCCAACAAAAAGTACTGTGATACTTTTCGATGGTATATAGCCAAAACGGCTTAATCGATTTTTAAGTAATAAATTAATCGATTTAATTCGATGTCAATCGGACATAGTATAGAATAAGTAAAATTCATTTAGTTAACAACTACAAAACTACTTCTTTTCTTCACTATCTGTGCAAACTGTTTTCTTATATTCATCTACTGTTTCATTGATTAGTTTGTTGAATATACTCTCAAATAATTGGTTCTTGACAGAAGCTTCTTCTGTGTGAAGAGATGTCCACTCCGGTTCACAACGTCTCCATTCAGCAAACAATATATCGTCAATGTGGTCTGTACGTCTTGAACTAATACCTGCTAAAATTAAACATTTATTTAAAGTTCACAATCATTATAAAGAACAAAAGTACTATTCATTTTTCAAAAAGCTTAGAAGTGTCGTTTTTGATCTACAAGCGCTTTAAGCGAAACACCCTGGGCATCCCCTTTTTTACCAGGTCTTTATGGGGTTGGGGGATCAACAGGGTTATGTGAGACTGTGTAATTCTTAAACCTATGACGTCCATTATACAACAGAAGTTCACCATTCTGGACCTGGTCTTTTGACCCAAAGTAATATTTATTCGGTCATTTGTTACCATGACTAAGCCAATATAGACTAAACATGGAGTAGAAATAGATTTTAATCTAGAATAATATAGGCTACTTTGTTAAAAGTAAAGGAAGATAGCTTGTTAATTATCTTACCTGAGACAAAAGAAGGTGTTGCACCAGACAGAACTTCCTTCAGTTCCGTACAAGTTTTACTGACTATCTTCTTTGTATCCGGCTGCGGTTTCTGTGGCAACAAATTGCAAGCATCCCATGGTTTATCGCTCCTCTCGATATGTTGTCTTACTTCACTTTCCTCACAAAAATCATTAAAGAAAGCATCAAATGGATCGTTTATGTCCAACAATTCATTTCTTGTGTCCATACAATATTGTATCTTATCTTCAGATATACTATCTGGTAGGAACATTTTCGGTGGTTTTGGCATTCGAACTTCGCTTGGTGGAATGTAAGGTGGTGGTGGCTTGTCAGGTATTTCACGAACAACTAACAATTGACACTGTTGTTGTTCCAAAGCCTTTATCTGAAACGCAATCAATAATATTACTACAAATTTATTGGCATTTAATTAAAAAAAAGAATAAAACCAGAGTACATTTTTGCACACAAATAGAATAGATTGTAAAATTGTATCTTTAAATATAAATTATTATATGCTGATTTATCCATTCATCGAATTGAGTAATATTTTTATGAATGAAAATTCATACTCAGCGTTTTTGTATTGCTCTAAAATCATGAATAAAATCAAATGACGTCAAATTTGGGTATGTTTCTTATTATATGTATTAGTGCTATTATTATATTGCAAATTAGACATAATATTTCATTTGAAATAATTTGCTTACATAACATGAATAATAATAATTAAGTAGGTGAATTACTATTATTAAAAGGTATATCTTTGTTATTTTTATACATCACGTGTTCTTACAGTTCTATGGCTAATTAGAATCACAAAGAAATCGAAACATCATTTAAATAAATCAATAAATATGACAATAACTTAATTGATTAATAAAGTCATAATTAACTGATTATAATAATTAGTAATTTAGTAATTAAAGATTTATTACTCTACTTTTATTATTCCCCTAATTATTATTTTTTTACCTAATAAAATTATTATTCAAAGCGCATACCTCTCTCTCAATGGCTAACTGTTGTCTCCTCAACTCTTCAGCCTCACAGAGAACTGGTGATGCATACTGTGATGTGGATGACATGTTTGAAGAAAATACTTGATCGTTGCTGGAACTCTCTGTAATTTTACAATTTTTTTTTTATATAATAAAGTGGCAAACGAACGAGCGGCCACCTGAAATCGCTGATATAGCGAAGTGACCGTCGCCCATAGACATATGCAATTGCATATGCGTTGCCTACCTTTAATCGACAGAGGAGAGGATGCACATAAAGAAAATATATTTCCTTTCCATGCATCCTCTCATCCGGAAAGTCCACTTCCACTTCCCATTCCTTCCTTATACGAAAAAGGGTGGGAAGGGAAAGAAGCCTAATTCGACTCCGGGACGCACAATGTAAGTAATGTATGAAATGTATGTAATAAAGCAAAAAATAAAACAACACAGAACTTAGTATGATATGACAAAAATGTAAAAAAAAGAAAGCTTACAAACCTTTCTCAACAGATATATTTGAAGACAGCCAAACCGGTGTATCAGGAGGTTGGTCATCAACTGGAGCAGCGGCACCTGCAGGCACTGGCAATGGCCCCGCAACACTGACACCAACAATCTCCTTACTATTTGTCTGTATCTCAACAGACAACATTGCAGGCTCATATTTGTATGTACTATCAAGTCCGTACACATTACTCAATCTCTTCACCAAACTTTCATCACTTTCCATTGTTATCATTGTTACACTGCTATGATCACAAACATCACTATTCGCCTCACTACTAGATTGTACTTCACCGTCATTATGTACACATTCATTGTCATATTCAGGTGAATTTGTAAGTGACTTATCTTCATCACCAAGACACTTGTAATAATGATCGAATTCTTCAACCAAGCTATGAGCAGTGGATCCTGAACTTTCGTCAGTATCAGGATTTTTTATTTGTTCCATGAACTTTTCAAATGCTTCCGAGTCTTTTGACAAATTATTATGTGAGTTTGATGAATTGACTATGTTCTTTAAAGCTTCCTCATTGACTTCATATTGTTTACCATTGCTGAATATTTGCGGTAGTGACAAATTATGAAATAGAATATTTAAATAGCCACCATCAACAGCTATGCAGTTTTCAGCTGTAGTGACAATCAATTGTGCAGGTAAATCAGCTGCTAAGATACTGTCGCCAGTTTGTATGCTCTTCTCCGCACTTGTAGCACTTTTCACATCAAGATTAAGTGGGTTGTCCGCAGTTAACGTAGTGTACCAAGCACTTTCTGAAAGTTCCTTAGAAGTAGTAGAATCTTCACATCCACTACTGGAGAGATCGAAACACTTCACTGGTGCCACAGCGCGATCTGAAGAAGAATTCCGCTTTAACTTTTTTTTACCAAGAATTATTTGTTTAACATCCACATTGTTGGTTAATTTCATTTCAATGTTTTTCTTAGTCTTCATGAGCGCAACCTTTCGTTTCTCTGATAGTGTTAGTAAGGCTTTTCGCATCCTTTGCATTTCACCACATTCGTGCTGCAGTTTGAGCAATGCACCACGCTGCTTTTTCTTCAGAGCTGATATATCTATGTTGTCTTGCTTTTTCTTCTTTTCTAACCAAAGCATTTGAGATTTGATGTAATCCTTTAGAACATCTTCTTGCATCTTCAACACAAACAAGAAATCTCTCGCTCTTCTTTGCTCATTGTGAATGAGTAAATTAAGCTGAAATAATAAAAGAAAAAAAAGGTGAAATTACTGAAAAATCTTGACAGTTATGGAAACTACAGATTTTTATGGTAATATACATAATTGAATCTGTAATCAATTACCAAATTACAAGTGAACTTTATTATGGTGTGCGGTAATTGATGCATCGCTCAACATGTTTACAGATTAAAAGAATAACATTTACCTGACAAAGACTCTTTGAAGCCATTGTTTCATTATCATCAACATTTGAACTATCTGCAATCTTTGTTAAATTGCACATATAACCAGAATCATTAACTTCAAATTGTTTATTGCGTGTCAAACTTGTGTTCATATCAGCAAAGTACTTTTCAGACAATTTTTCTAAATAATTCAGAGATTCAAAGAATGAATCAATAAAATTGAGTTCCCTTTGGAATTGTTCGCATATAAATTCGCTTCGTAAAAAACTATTATTAAGCCTTATTGTACTTAATATATCCGATGGTTTCATCAATTTATTGTTGACAGAGATATTTGTCTTACTATCAAATTTTACATCATTTGTGTATTTAGAATTCAAACGGGATTTATTTTTCTTTTTCGATTTTACTAGCAAATCATCAGATTGCTTATTTTTGATTTCCTTTTTATAAACTGATATTACATTCAAAGGATAAGCTAAAGTCGGAGACAGATTATTGTGTATTTCTTCTTTGTTAACAACATGAATGTCAATTTTTTGTTCTCTTGTGTATGTAACTGTTGCCCGTCCAATTATATAAGATGAACTTTTGATGTGAGAATCACTGACATTTTTATCACTTTTAATTGCAAAAATATCAGTGCTCGGTGTCTTGAGATTTGGTAATGATGTATTATAGAAATTAACTACTTCCTCTGCAGTCGAATCCTTTATTTCCTTTGTTAGTGCAACATCAGGTATGTGAAGACTATCAAATTTCTCATTAATTACATCTGTTTCTGTATTCTTATCTTCCATTCTCACAAGTAGGGTATCAAAATGATTATCAATTTGTGTAATTTGATCTGTCAGAATTGGTGGTGGGTCTGTTTCTACTGATACATGTTTCGAAGCATTCATTGATCTTTTTTGGATGAAGCTTTCATCTTTTTTGGATGGTTTTTGTATTTTCTCATATGGTGTGTTGGTTGGTTGTTTTTTATTTGTATTTACAGAACTTGCTGGCTGTAATTTGTTATGTTGGTGTTGAAATTTCTTCAAATTGTTTTTATTTTCTGGATTATTTCCTTTATCTAATTCATTGTACAAAGTTTCTTTAATAGACTGTGCTTCCTTTTCATTTTCAACAGAGATAATTATATTTTTACTTAAACTATTTTTAGAATATTTGCTAATATTCTTATTTTTGCTTTGTATATCTGAAAGAGGATAAAATAATTATAGAAGTCAGCAGCAATATTTTTAATTAATTGAAAGACACAATATGCAGTATTTGATTAGTTAAGGGAAAACATTATTTGAATGTGTCCTAATTTAACGCCAAATCACGTTTTTTTTTTAAATATCAAAAGCAGGAAATGAATGTTCCTCACATAAATTCTATAGCAAGTAGTACTCGCTTTATACCACAAAGTAATAGCAAAAGTAACAAACCTTTTTCTTTAATCAATCCCTTTTTGTCCATGTCATTTTTTATGTGTTTGTTATCAAACTGCTTGCTTTTATTAATATTGACTTTTACTGAATCATTTCCTTTACTTAACTCTCTATTCTTTGCTAATTGTTGTCTCAATTCTTCTGAATCTAAGAAATAAAAAAACAAATATAAATGTGACGAAAAATATAAATTCTCTGTATTTGAGAATAAAATCTAGTGTTTTAATAAAAAAAAATATTGAGTGACATGTTCTATTTAAGCTTCCTTTAGTCTTAGAACCCAGACTGTGTCTATACATTTTTTTCCAATAATCCTCCGATGTAAAAGAGGCACTGAACAAATAGCGATATTTTTATAGGCTGGAAATGGGATCCATAAATTCCTTGTAAACCTATTCTTTAAGTTTGTAAGAAAATCTGAATCTGACTTTAACACCTACATACTGGTTATTTTAACGGTATTCAATAACCAACAATTTATATTTTGTTACAATTATTACAAAAGTAAATATTAAAATGTGTTACAATTGCAAGTGTTAAATGTTTTAACCAAATTTTACATACACTTTTTGGTTCTCTTTAATCTTGAATCTGTACTAAGCAAGTCTTGTTTTTCTGACTTTGGATCAACACAATCAGCTCCTAAAAGCCTGTTGGATGTTTTAGGAGTCGCTGACTTCTTAACATCTTTCGCTGTAATTAAAGAGCCAAAATCATTATTCTTCTTCGTTGTTACAGTCTTGTCAGACTGGACGTAGTCATCAAGTATCAGTGAAAAAGAGTGAAAATCATTATCTTTCTAGTAAAATTCCAAGTTTTGATTTATTATCACTTAATACTAACAAAAAGAAGAACAGAAAAGCTAAATGTGATTACCAACTATTATATTTCTAAAGACTTAATGCCATTCAAGAAAGATACACATTAACTCAACAAGTTCATCATTCTGACTCTCAAGGTGAGTTTGTCATATGTCTGCAGATCTCCTAAAGTTGTGGATATTTATTACCATTGGTAATTTCTGCTAGTTTGCTTCCTTACACCATAATAAGCCTCAATACCAACTATTGTTATGTCTATTTTAATATTTATAAATATCTCAATGAAAATTCAGTACTTACCAATATTTGAGAAACTATTTGTTTCCTCCTCATGTCCTATATTTATAATTTTAATCTTCCGTTTTGGATAACTGTTAGACATGTTCACAGGGGTTACTAAGTTTTGCTTTAATGACCTAGTTGTTGGAACTGGTTGATCCTCAAGTGTAACAATTCGACGAAATCGTGGATGTAATGAATTCAGATGGGAGCATTGTTCTGAAAATAAATAACCCAAAATAAATGAAATAACCTAAAATAAAATCTTACAATTTTCTCTGAAAATGATGTAAAACTTTTAAAACCTAAGTAACGTATCGAATGACACAAATATAAAAATAATATCAAAATGTAGAACTATACCTTCAGATTCGAAATTAGGCAGTTTTGTGTATTTGATTACAGTACTTTTGTGTTTTGATGCGCTCGGAAAAGAACAGTTTTCGACCGTGAAAAATAAATTAAAATCTGTGTTCAATTTTTCGGAATCGTTTTTTATGGAAATTGAATCATCCATTATCCTTTAACTGTACGGTATGTAAATATCCGTACTATCATTTTTAAATAGTTAAATTTATAACATTCGCAAATACTAAGAAACTATGCATTTATTATAAAGTTTGTGTGATAAAATTACATTTTTTTTATAAAATTTAATGAATTTAGCTTTTGTTGATAATATTTCTGGTAGATATTTACAAAATATATTTAGTTGATGTCAAAAATTGTCTATGCGAATGGTGTGTTCTCCTTCTCTGTGGCCAAAGAGTATATAAAATAGTCTGTGGCCCTTAACTTCCATAGATACCATCATAGAAGTTAAAAGCAACGAAGCAACACTTTTTACAGCTTTACAAGCGGTGAAAGTAATAAAAATGTTCTTTAATGTCTTTTTAAGAAAAATCTACATATTGTTTATTTTTGAGATGATTAAAGTTAAAATGGATGCTTAAAATAGTGTCCTGGAAGTAATGGTTTGGTCATGTTGTTTTGTCTTACTAGTTACTTTCTATGCTTAGATTTATTATTGCAATTTTTTATTTTGTATTGAACGGGGTACAATATACCAAAATACAATAAGTGTCTATAAACCCATTGCTGCTATATACAGACACTTGATTCATTTAATGCACACCTATTATAGAAGTTAAGGGAGGATTTAACATATACGCTCACTATGCCCAGTGAGTGTACTAATGACGTAGCCCAGAATCCGGGTACTGATAAATCCAGAGTGAAAGTATACTGAGCATTTTCACAAGGAAATATTATAGGACTGCTAAGATGTGACGATGGTCCGTTGATCGATCATCCAGGCTTTTTGCTATGCAGTGGACCATTTGGTATTGGTTGACTAAAGCCGTTTTGAGGGCACCATCCAGCTTGTTGGGCTTAGCATGACATTGGTGGTATAGCAATAAATAAATATACAATTTATAGAGAAAACGAATGGTAGTAAAAATGTATTGATTTTTTTAATTACAACATTCCGTGCTATCCGGTTTGTTTATTGACGCAAGGTGCGAGGAGAGTTTATTAATTATTTTAATTACAGTGGAAACTTGAGTAACTTAGGAATTGTTCGACTAAATCAGAAAATAAACATTTAATTCGGGTAAAACCATAGACTAAGACGAGTACAGAACGCGATACTGAGCAAAGATGTGACCATTTATATACTCTTTGATATTTTATATACTCTTTGGATGTGACATTAGGTTAGCTTAGCTTCATTGCATCTTATTAATTTATCTGTGAAAAGGTTTCGAAGTGGCCAATTTTAGATATGAAATCTGAATATTGTAAACCTGAAAATTAAATTTACTTTGCAATTTGTAGAACTATGAATTCAAGAAATATTAGCTTAATCTTCATTATTGATCTTGGCAATACGAAAATTTCCAATCTTACAATACTTCAGGCTTTCATATCTAAAGTAGGTGTGTTCTAGGAAGTAACAATCAAGTGATCCCTTTGTTGATGAATGAAAATGTTACCTCATTTAGGAGTTAGATGGAAGCGTATATATTTAGTAAAACAGTGAATTATTGCGAAGTGTTAGTGAAATTGTTAGTATTGCGTCACTTACTCAGTATTTAGTGTAAAGACGATGTTTAACAGTTTATATGGACATTGGCATGTGGTTCGTGTTTAGCTGTTTGTTATTCTGTGATCAGCGTGTTTAATATAAATGTAAGTATTAAAATATTACTTCTTGTCGTTTATTTGAGACATTTGCGCTAAAGTAGCCATTTTAAATATACATAATAGGAATCTACGCCATGTTAATTATATGCTTAACGACGAAGATTGGTATGCGCATGTCAAAAGGATATAGATTGCCTAATACGTCAATTTCGTATTCTATCTATAATGAAAATAATATTTGATTCAACCTTAATACATTAAAAAGGATTATTTGTTGACTAATTTATTAAGTAAAAAAGTCCAAGTTTAAAAGTATAAAAGATTTCTCATTCCTAAGTACTTTCCACCCTCTCAAGATGACGGAATATGTCAGTGAATAGCATACAAATCTATAAAGATTGTATAGTCCCATATTGATATCAGTCAGCTTATGCAGCCATAAGAAGATGGCTGCTGAGGATGCTGATTTATCTAAGATACACACTTCTAGTAAAATTGATCCAGATCCTAGTCCACCCTCAAGTAAGTGGTTTTGTTAAAAAATATAGAAATCAAAAATTACAAAGATAAAATGGTAAATGAAAAAAAAAGAGTTGTCATTGATTATCCTATTTTTAGGCATTCGTGTAAAATATCTTAAATTTGGCTTAAAACCATATCATCTCAAGCCTTATGCTAGCTTTGATTACAAAGGAAATGTTATTTCTCTCTTCAATTTAAACATATTATGTTTTTGAAGAAGAAAATGATATTGATTTTTCTATTTTAGTCTTTGAAACAAAACATTTTCTCTGTGGTTAGGAATCTTTAATCATTTCAAGCCTTACACTAACTTTGATTGTCAAGAAAGTGGTTTTATTTCTCTGTTCAATTCAAATATGTCTTTGAAGAAAGATGATATTGATTTTTCTATTTTAGTCTTTGAAACAAAACATATACCCTTTGGTTAAGATGTTAAATCATTACATACCAAATCAAAGTAAAGTAAATGTTATTTCTCTATTCAATTGAAACAATATGTAGTCTAAGATTGGTATTGATTTTTAGACGAGTCATTTTCTTATATACTTAAAACGCTTCACATCAGTCAAAAAACCATTCAACCAACTTTTGATATGTGCTTAATGTGAATGTTTATAAGAAAACATATATTGATTTTTCTTATCGTGGTCTTTTTTTATAAACCACATTTTAGCTATGGTTAAATCTAACAACATTAAATATTATACTTAATTTGATTGTAAATAAAACTTTAGGGGCCTTGCTTAAAAAAAATTAGACAATGTTTAAAATACATTTAAGTTTAAACATACATCAACCTTTTTAATACTTTAACTAGCTGCTGCCCGTGACTCCATCATTATGGAATGAAATAAAACTTAATTAGTTCCCAGCAATTATTCCAATTTTTCACACCTTTTAAATCTTCCCTAGACCTCCACGAAAATTTCAAGACCAAGGTAAGATAAATTTGTTCAGCTGTCCTTGAGTTTTAGCGAGACTAATGAACAGCAATTGAAAACATGCACAAGCTTGTGAAATGAGTTCTACACCAATAAATAATAAAATGCTTATACTGAAAGTAATATCCTTCACTGGCATTAGAGGATTAAAACATCTGTTGAACTAAATAGTGTCTAAATATATTTTTTTGACATAATACAGTAAATCTCAGTTTAATTTAAACAAATGTTGTAAGCATATTGATTTTTCTATACTGTTTTCTACAAAACATTTCACTTGCAGGTATAAACTTTCACCTTTAAGCTTTATGCTAAACTAGCTGACGTCCGCGACTCCGTCCGCGTGGATATATAAGAAAAACTTTATTAGTGTAGCATTTATAATATTAGTAAGTTAAATAAAAAGCAGCTCTTCAAGGCATAAATTCGAAAAAAAATGAATAAATAGTATCCTATGTCCGTCTCCTGGCTCTAAGCTACCTCCTCACCAATTTTCAGCCATCTCCGTAAAGCCGTTCTTGAGTTATAAATAGTGTAAGTAACACAACTTTCTTTTATATATATAGAAGATATAAGATGTCATGCAAAGAAAATATTTTTATATGTTTAATAGTATCTATAACATTTTTTTAAAATTACGAATTGATTTCTCATATTATTTGCTATCTTTCACTGGCGAATCAATCCACAAAACACAAAAAAAAGAGTTAAATATAATCTTAATTTGTGGCCTATGTGTTCTTCCACGTGCTTTGTTTGACAGCTGTAGCAAATTTCAGTAAGATCTGGTTAGTAATTCTGGAGCATTATAATAAACATACATAAATCTAAATTTTCACATTTATGTTATTAGTAAGAATGAAGGTAACAATAAGAATGGTAATTAGTGATTTTAAATTATGTTAACTTTCCTAAGACATTATCATAAACAAATATGTAGATGGCTAAATACTCACAGATTTGTCCGATGTTGGCAATAACTTTTTTTGAGCTTATTGACGGCCCTTAATCAGGGTGTGAGCGAGTGGTTTTCATCATCATCTCATACAGTACCATTTACCCTGATGGGCAAATAACTAGTTGGTGCTGACACTAAAAAAATGTTGTGGGTGTTCAGCCATTTATATATTGATTTACAAGTGGTTATTATATGTAATATTTTTTGTTATTGTTGTTTCAAACCAGTATTCTTGTATTTTGGGCAATTTAAGGTATATGTTTGTTGGTGTTTAGATAAAAAAAAAACATTTCTCCTTTGCAAGCTCAATAGCAAATTCAAACTCCATCTTGTCCTACATAATTTTACAAAGAATTTTATCCTTTTTAATTTTAATTAAACAAAAAATTTGTTGCTGCATTTTGGTTGGATAGAGAATTCAAAATATCTGCTAGAATTGAAATCATAATAATTAATCTAATTTACATTTTTATTGATATTTTCATATCACTTTGTAAATTTAAACATTTAAAAAACAATTCCTATTCAGTGTAAATCAGCAAATGACCTCCTATGACGTCACAACAATCCACATCCGTAATGTAGTAGGTTAAGTTAGGTTATCTATGGACCCACTTGCTCATTTTGTGTGCTTAAAATATCACTCTTACTTAGAATGTCATATGTTTGCTTATTATAAGTTCTTAAGACAACCAACACTAAGACTCACAATCACAATACAATTTCCTTTGTTAATAACTTGACCTCTTATGCTCATTAGAAACTTGTAAATTGATAACTGATTGACTTCAATGTATTGACTGCTTCGTATCTGTGTTTATTTTAGAATCCTTTTCCTTAGAATTTACTTTCAAATCATAAGCAAGTATGTAGAGTTTGTATGTAGCTGCATAATAAGTAATTTTGATCCAAACTATACATGTTTCATTCAAGAATGTTACTTAAATAACAACTAAAAAATTTAATTTATTTGTCAATTACTTTCTAGACTTCTGTAAAAACACAATAACATAGATGTGTTGACAATGAAGGATGGCTACTAACAATGAACAAAAAATAATAAATTGATAATTTAATTGAATTATGTCATATTTATTAAAAGTATCAAATTCATGCAAGCATACTGCAAAAAACAGCATAACGGATTTCATAGGAATATATGGAATATTTTGCAGCAACTCATTTAATGGAGTCAAAAAAGGCACTTTTAATCAATTATTAATGAACTGTGTGTAGTACTAAGTAAGTAAAGTATTGCATACCTTTCACATCAGCTGTTCCTTGAAATCTATTATCTATATCAGCAAGAACAATATTTGCATTATTATTATTACTGTTGTATATACAACTTGGAATTGTTTAATACAAACTAATTTTCGTTACACAAATTTGTTTACAACAGCACAAGATGTAATAAAAAGCGTAACTTGGAGTGTTGCCAGTGCAGAAAATACGTCGAGACAAATTCTTTTATGCGATGTTAATAGTACTATTAAATGATTGTAATTAATGAATAATAATTTACAACATGATTTAGATTTATTAACAGCAAAATTAATTCAAATTTTTAATCTATCGATCGCTTGAGTACGACTGTCAAGCGTTTCGCAGAACGATAAATGTCATTGTCACATTGTAGTAGTGGTTTCGCGAATATCGCAGCTTGTCGAATTGATTAATTAAAACAATTCTGAGTTTAAAACTTGCCATTTTAGGTGATTGTGTAAAATATATATAGTTGCATCACGACTAGTTCGGCGTAGTTATCAAAAGTACGAAATCTTAAAATAAAAACTGGGATGGTGAATATGCTTCATTGATCTACATTGTGACCAAATTGAATAATATTCTTGTAAGTATACTGATTATTCCTTGTTTGTAGAATATTATTTAATTTCGGCGTGTTTTTAAACTTTTAGTGCATTTCTATTGATAACTAGAACAACTGAATGCCAATTTATGTAATTCTTAATAAAGTATTAAATTTTATCGTAAACTGGTTGACGCCCGCTACTCCGTCTGCGCGTAATTAAAAAAAAAACAACAAGGCCCATAATTGTTTCTTGAAATACCATTAAATTCTTGGACCACTTATTCATTTGAGTCTACATTTATTTTTTGTTGTTCCAAATGGTTGTTACAATGTTCTGACCTTTTGCATATAAAAACTGAATGACAATGAGTGCGAGATAATCCTACTGTGGGTTTTGACTGCAGTGAGACTTGTATTGACACATATTGTTATCCCTCTTATTCCTTTTCAAAGAACGGAGACAACAAAACAAATGCTACGCAGTTGAAACACATCTTATATTCATAAGTCAACATGAAATTTGATGAATGCATAATTTAGTTGTTTGCTGTGTTAGTCTGAGATACGACGGAAAATTTTCAGGGACTGAATAAAATCAAGCAAGATTTTGATTTCTATCGTATTTTCAAAGAAGTGAAATTAGTTAACTTATTATAACATAGTCTGCTAAAATGTTCCAATAAGTAAGTAGTGGTACTGGGCACACAAATTGTAAACTTACTTACTTTCTAAACTTGCTAAAAAATCTTACTGCAGACTTTGCAGTTTATAGTTCAATGACCTCAATATTACAATGCAACAAGGACTAAAT